CGCCTCAGTTAAAGCCTAAAAGACGACGTAACGTGAGAATTCTGGTCTTCTAGCGACAGACTCGCCGTTTCCGCCCCAAACAATATTAAAGCCATATTTATCACGTGATAATTGTCACATTGTGATTTTATTAGTGTTCTCTAATTGCAATCCCCCCTAAATGCATGCTCTAGGGCTAGTCATGACAACGTGCATTTAGGGAGGTCTGACTGTATTGAGGACCAAAAGTGGTGTGCACTTAGACGAGTTTTTCATATACCGTGTACTTAGGGTGTGTGCACTTAGGGGGTGCAACTCTAATAGAATACCCGAAGTTTGTGTCGTGTCTTGTGGTCGTTGAAGTTGTCGTAGCAAGGTGGATATAACATATATGATACGACAGCCTACAAGCGAGTGTGTTTAGTGAGTTAAGACCCAAGACCCCACAACTGCAAGCGTATATGCCACCTACAAGACACAAGAACCTGATACCTAATCTTTTGGAATTATAATGTGGACAATAAGTACTAATTGCAATGACGATATACTGTGGTGGTTCATATTTGGCTAATGATGTTATTTGTGGCCTTCGACATTCTATAATTCCTGGTACAGTACACCAAAGAAATATGTAAATTTGATATGCAAATATTGAACTATAGATCCTTGTGATCGCATTTCCGCAAAAGAATATTAAGAGATATAATAGAAATAATTTCATTTATTAATATTCGGCTTATCGGAATCTGAGTTTTCAATTCGAACCTGATTATTTAAATTTAGCTAACCGTTTAATTTTGACTAATTAAGAATGGTACTGGACTTTGTACAGCTTTGCATTACATTCTTTTCTTTTACTAAATTGGTTATTGAGCGTAAGTTTTTATGCATGTAGTTCACTTGCATTAATGGCAATAAAATAATTCCGACCCAACCAATAAAATCCATATCTGCTGATTTCTCTGTCCAAGTCTATTATACATTTTGATCTTTATCCATGGTGAAACTGTACGCTATGCCTGTCTTTGCGGCTTGCCAAGTGAGCAATTCATCAATGCATAAAATTACGCATGCACAACAATAGGCTTTCATTAGGAAAAGAAATTTGATTGTGTTTAAGGAGAGCATTTAATATCCTTTGTGCTATGTTTTAACCATTTTGTCACTGTATACAGATAGATAATTTCGTTATTTCATTCAATTTCGCTAGAATTTCGTTCGCGTAACAATTTATAAATATGAACTCACCCTATTTGCAATTCATTAATACATAAAATCACGCATGCATAACGATAGGCTTTCATTAGGTAAAGAAATTTAGTTTGTGATCCCTAAGAACCAATGAAAAATTATAGCAAACTGTGAAGATATGATTACTATGTATTTCTTGCCTTTTTTTGGAATCTGGAGTTTCCCAAAGAAAAATCAATTTGTTGTAGAGAAGAGAATTCCGGTCACAATAACAGTTAAATCATTAAAATCGGCCCAGTAGATCTTGAGATACGAAAATTTTTGTCTCTGCGACTATATGAGCTGCCGTCAATAGAAATCAAGCAGTTTGACATTTTAAAAAAATCAATCCCTTAACTTTTATAATATATATCTCGATTAATTTTGAGATTATCTTAAAGCTTAAGATCTAGACTTTCTTTTGAATATTAATTCGTCAAGATAGCCTCAAAATTTATCGATATATAAGTTGTGAAAATTAGCAGATTAATTTTTTTAAAAAGGTGATTTCTATTAACGGCAGCCACATGTTTACTCTTTAGTTTACATAATATAGTCGCAAAGACAAAAATGGTTATAGTTCGTGATCAGTTGGGCCGAATTTAAAGATTTAACTGTCATCATTACCGAAATTCTCTTCTTTATAACTTTTACTTAATGTAGAAGGAAAGGTTTACTTTGTAGAAAATCGATTTGTTCTTTGGGAAACACCAGTCCAGAAAAGGCAACAAAAACAATAGTAAATTTCCCATGTTTTTTCACTGGTTCTTAGGCGGAACGAATTAATTGTTTTTAAGGAGAGAATCACGACATTTAATATCCTTTGTGCTATATACTAACAATGTATGCAGGTAGATGATTTCGTTATTTCATTTAATTTCTCTAGAAGTTCGTTCGCGTAACAATTTATAAATATGAACTCACCCTATTTGAAATTCATCAATGCATAAAATTGCATATGCATAAAATTGTGCATGCATAATGATAGCCTTTATTATGAGTGTAATGCATGTATGTGTAAAAAAATTGCATTATCCTGAGTGACCAAAATAATAACTCATTGCTTATGCTTGTTAATTATGCATTTCGAGGAATCTATAAATTACCAAAAAAATCGCTCTTTTTTTCTTTTTTCTTTCGAGGTTCCCTTTTGATTTCGAAAAATTTAATATTTCTCCTGATTTCGAAACAAATTTTATATTGATTTAATTTAGAAAACAACATTATTTAATATCTCCTCCTAACTCTAAAAAAAACCCCAACTTCAAAATGTCGAAAATTCACTTGTTCTTCATTGTTGCTTTAGTTTTTATCGTTCTCAGCCCTACAAACTTCATGGTATAGTTCTATACTTTTTGTCATTTACAGTGCTTTTCAAATTAGTGTGATCATCAGATTTCATACACAGGAATCTGGAAATCCGGATCTTTTCAAGTTTTGATTGAAGATATCTCAACACCCACTTGGCCAAATCCAATGAACTTTTTTTGTTTCACTTGTGGACATTAGTAGAATTTGAAGAAAAAAAATTTTATCGAATATGTTTAGGTGGATATCAAGATAACTTCATTCAAATTTTGAAATGCACTTCTATTTAAATTTTTAAAAAATTTATCTTGACACCCACTTGGCTAAATTCAATGAACTTTTTTTTTTTTTTTACTTGTAGGCATTAGTAGAATTCGAATAAAGAAAAATTTATCGAATATGATTAGGTAGGTATCGAGATATCTTCGCTCAAGTTTGAAACACACATCTACTCAGATTTTTACAAAATTTGGGTAGTTTCAAGAAGAGTGAACCCAGTGATATCTTCGTGATCATCACATCACATAATTAAACATTCGGCCTAAATTAGGGTTAGTGTTAGTGTTAGGTGATAGTATAGTTTAGGCCAAATCTGCTAGTGCTAGTAAACAAATGACGTTATTCCATTATTTCACGTGATGTGATTATCACTAGGTTCACTGTTCTTTAAGTGTCCCCAAAATTTGTAATCGAAGATATCTTAACACCTACCTGGCCAAATTCAACCAACTTTTTTTCTTTTAATTATAGAGATAATCAGAATTTGAATAAAAAAATGTTCATCGAATTTGGTGAAATAGGTTTTGAGATAACTTCGATCAAAGTTTGAAAATAAATTTCAATGCACTTCTATTGATAGACATTGGGGGAATTTTTACAACTACTTGGTTAACCAAAACGAGATATCGTACGCTAATAGATGACACACTATAGAATCAGGAATTGACAAGGAATCTTTGGAATTGTGATTTTTTAAGTGGGAATTTTTTAAAAACAAAGAATTTAAGGGAATTTTACAGATTTCCGTGTTATGGATGATCGACAGTAATTTGAAAAGCACTGTAAAAGAAAACAAAATATCAATGGAATAGTTTATTCCAGATAAACACTGAAAATTTATTATAAATCGTTATACTTCTAGGATATTTGAGAATATAAGATTTAAAGGTTAAAGAATCCCATTTTAAGCTAAGTAACATAAAATTTTCAGAATTTTCTACTAATCTGGAATATTTCATATTCTTTGACCGAAAAATATGAATTTCCATTAACATATGCAGATTCATTTCGAATTCGTTTTTCGTATGAATGTTGACGACTGTGACATCGTCTATCTTGATTAAAATTGTTATACATAGCTAAATCACCGCCATCACCAAAAAGTGGTCCATGATAAGACCTACACTTAATTGCATATTCTGGTTGTTTTACACGACTTAAAATAGAATTTTGAATAGTACCATTTTTCAATGAAAAAATAAAGCTATCATTGCAAGTCCGATAGCAACCACCACTAATCCAACCGATAGGATTAAAACCACCAAGGATTTCAACAGTACCATTAACCTCCATAGCTACAACGATATGTGGTTTCCCACTACACAATCTAAAAAACGAATCAGCCGTAAAACCATCTCTAGTTCCTCGAAGAAGTAATTTAAACTCGTATGGATTGTCTGCTACTGTATAAATATTATCTTTTTTATCAACCCATGAAGCAATTTCGGCTGCATGTGCTTCATTGATAACTGGTGAAAATGGTTCTGGGTTTCTACTTGGTAACTTTGGTGTTAAAATTACACGGGGCGGCAAGATTACTGATGATATTTGTCGATTTGGTGACATAAACTTATTCGTTATATCTTTCCAAAGACTTTTTTCAAGGAT